GGGTTCGAGTAAACTTAGATAATCCTAAGATTAAGATGGCTGGTTACTGGAAACTGAACTCATCATTATTTGGTGAGCAAGATTTCCGGGACCAGCTTCTATTAATGCTACAGCGGGAATTGTCGAGGGCTGTGGTTGGGAATAAGTGGTGGGTTTCTCTGAAATCCAAACTTAGGTCTTTTGCTACTGATTTTAGTCGCCGACTCAATCTAGCAGGATTAGCAGTGCAAAGGTGTTGTGAGGCAAAAGTAGATCAGACGATTAAATCTCGTGATAGTGGGGACGTAGCCGTAGCTAAGGCGGGGCTGGCCTCCTTGCTTATCAAGAAGGATCAAGCTCTAGTAGTTAGGGCTGGGATAAAAAGAATGTCTTGCGAGGCTACAGACACGGCCGCTTCATTGCGTGCAGGGGAAGTTCGTAGGGCATTTAGTCGGCATATCACGAGCATCACATGTGACTACAGACGTGGGCATTTGTGAGGCTTTCCGTGACTACTTTCAGGAGCTGTTTACCAGGGAGCCCGGTCTGAACTCTGCTCAGTTCGACGCCTATTTAGCCGACTTTCCTCGCCTCGAGACGGCTGAAGATGCTGTGTACGAGGGTCCCATTACAGAGTCTGATATCTGGGATGCACTGAAACATATTGGCCTGGACTAAACTCCGAGATTAGATGGTTTACCTTATGAGACGGTGGGATGGGTTAGATAATTATCGGCCTTTGACGATGTTAGACACAGAGTTGAAGATTTTAGCCAAGGTCTAAGCCGGCCATTTGTAGGCTGTTATCTCTAGTCTGATTGGTCCGGAGCAGGCTGTTATCTCTAGTCTGATTGATCATCGAGCAAGCCGACAGTGATCAATTTAGATCAGTCCAAGGCTTTCGACAGGGTTGACCATCTATTTCTGGAGGCTGTCCTTTCGGCCGCCAGTTTCGTGCCGGGCTTTCGCACTTGGATCCGACTTCTGTATGCGTCCCCCGGTGCGCTGGTAGAAGTGAATGGGGTAAGATCAAAACCTTTCATTTTGTATCGCTCCATTCGTCAAGGTTGTCCGCTGTCTCTATTGATGTACGTTCTTGCGCTGGAACCTTTCCTGTGTAAGTTGAAGACGAATCCGGTCCATCGCGGAATTTCTTTACCTGGTGCTACCACCTCGGCCAGGTACTCCGCCTATGCTGATGACGTTTCGGTTCTTGTGTCGAGTAGGGCCGAAATTAACGAAATGAGCAAAGAAATCAAAGACTATGAGATGGTGACAGCGGCCAAGATCAACCGCGATGTCTGTTGGCTTGCGGTTGGGTTCGTGATAGGTAGTTTCTCTTCCTGGATCTTTCCTCTGGACAGATGGGCCGGTCAAGATTCTCGGCGTCTGGTTCGGTCCCGACCTCCTGTTGGAAATGAATTGGTCGGAGGTGCAGGAGAAGGCCGAGCTCGCAGTTCGTCTGTGGACTCGGAGGAATCTTTCCTTGAAGGGGAGGGCGGAAGTATGTGCCTCTCACATCTACCCGATTCTCCTTTACCGACTCTCAGTGCTTCCACTCCCATCTGACACTTTATTGGCGTTTGTAAGGCTCTTGTTCTCCTTCTTGTGGGGAGGCAGGGTCGCCATGTTCAGTCGCGAGATCTGTTAACTCTATCCTGGCGGTCTGGGGATGCCTTACGTTGAGATTCGTCGACATACGCTTCGCAACACTTATCTAAACTGGATGTGTATGCAGTTGAATGAGAACGGCGAATTCTGGAAGGAAGACGCACGTAGAAATTTCCATCCTTAGTAAGTGTGCGTTCGTGTGATGGGGAGGCCGGCCGAGGCGAGGGGTCCTTCTATTGCGAATGTCGGCTTGTTCTCGAGCAACTCTTAGGGCGGAGGATGGAGGCTCCGACGTCCTGCCGTTGTCCCGTAAGGCATTATATTAGGTGTTAGTTAGGAGGAACCTTCAAGATGCTTTGATAGGCGAGCTCGGTCTAGCGAAGCGGGAGGCTTGCTGCATATGGCCTTGGGCGCCCGGGTTGAAATGTCTCACTAACACTGAGGCAGCACTCACCTGGCTGTTAATTCGAGGGGCCCTGTCGGTCGCCAAAAGACTTCGTTCAGTGGGTTTGGCTAAGTTCGCTACAGTGAGGAGGTGGAGACCCTAGGTCACGCCTTCTTTCATTGTAGTGTCGTAGCTCTGTTGTGCAAGTTTGCTGAAGATATCATGGTTCGCATGCTGCGCGGAAAGTTCTTTGTCCTCGAGGCCAGTTCCGTCTGTAGCAATATAGTACCGCCGTTGAAGGCTGAGCACTATGTATTCCTTTGCTTTCTGGGTTTCGAGTGTTTTTCGTATTTGTTGTTGTGTTTGGATGAGTGTGTGTTTGTAGTGAGTGCATGGCTTTTACGAATGTTTTTATATTTTTATTAGTCCCGCATTGATTTTCGTCCAGTTAACTGATGCTTCTGCCACAGTTAGGGCTGTGGTTTTTTTTATTACTAACACTATTTTGTTTAGTATTTTGTATATAGTTTTGTACACATTGTAAATATTCACTGTTTTTTTTTAGATTTTTAAATTGTTATTTTATTCCCCTCACAGACAATGAATTGTATAAATGGGGACTAGTTAAGACTTCATAGAGTTTCTGAGGTATTATGATGTATGAGGTAAGAATGGTAAGTAAGAATGAGTTGTTTTGGTGGAAGGAATATTGTTTGTATGTTTGGGTCAGTGGTTGTGGCTAGCTACGTTTAATGTTAAGACAGAAGATAACCATTCCCCTTTCCCTTTCCCCCTTTTTGGCCTTGTGCCATATTTGTACTTCTTGTGCAATAAATACTCTGCCGATTCAGGCGGTTTGGGTTGACTTGTCAACCCCGGCCAGAGAGGAACCCAGACAAGGCTCTGCCGAAAGATAGAGTCATGTCTGGGATGATAGACAAGCCCGACCCCGTATATACGTGGTCTACGGGGAAATTGCCCCACATAAAAAACGGCCTTGTGCCACATCCTGCCTTGTGGGGAGGCGAGGTAAATAACCAGGTATGCATTGTCCAGAAGACAGATATCTACGTTCGTTCGAACTTGCTTTTGTGCATCGACACCAATTCTTAGTTTGTGAACTTTTTATCTTTTTACCTGTTAATTGGCCTTGCATATATTGTTTGCTTGGTTGCTTGATATTATTTAATTTCTGCCCTGTTCCTTTCTCTTTTTATTGCAAGCTTTGTTAATTGTATTTGTTGGACAGTTCCGTTCTTTATTTTGCATTTGACCGTGGCTACTCACTTCACAATATATATATATATATATATATATATATATATATATATATATATATATATATATATATAAAGTTCGTAGCACTTTTAACTGAACACTGAATTATCTCTCTTCTCTCTCCTTTTGTGTTTTAATAGTATTTTTGTACCAGTCGAATAGATCAGCCCGGAATTGTATGGAAAATGCGCCAGACTTATAAGAAATAGTGCTGTGAAAATAAAATCATTTTACGTTTTTCCCTGATCTTACCCAAGATTCATACTCAGAAAAAGTGTAAGAAAATTGCGTTTAAATAAATACTTAAGTAAATTAAAAGTTCGTGTCATTTTCGAGTTTTAATGGCTCACAAGGGAAAACTCGAACATTACCCCTACACGCAAGCCATTACAACCTACGCAAGCCACCACAACCTGTCACTGGGTGGCATGCTATTAATGTTTACAGCTGGTGGCCTGCTGTCGGACCGCCGTTGTGTTCGTCTCGGCAATGTTCCCCTGGCGGACCTCTAGAGGCCCACCGGTGGCTGCCACCAGCGGACAGCTGGCGTTGCCATCGGTGGCCCACCAGCAGGCTACTAGCCGCTTGCGTGTAGGGACCAGATTCAGTAATTTTTTATTCGTGCTGATATTGCAAAGTCAGAAATAAACTTTAATGATTCCCTCTTCATATATTCTTATTAAATTTATAATTCAAATATTGTGTGATATTCTCGTTCGTCTAGATTAAAATTCCTTTAGTCTAACACATATCTGTCTATCGCACTCCGTTCCCCCCCCCCACTCTCTCTCTCTCTCTCTCTCTCTCTCTCTCTCTCTCTGATACACATGGCTGAACCAGCACTCGCAGTTACAGTGCACAGTGTAGTCAATGAACATTGGAATGGAATGCAAGCGACTTGATTTTAGAGCCTACCATAGAATAATGATGATACTCGTCATCTGATGCAAAACTACATTCACTCATAACAAAAATTACTCTCTTTAAAAAATATTTCCAAAGTTTGCGGTACCCACGGAGTTTAAATATGTATTTGTAAAAGCAATAAAATAAATATTCTCGCAAGTTACATAGAAATTATACCTGATCGACAAAAATGCGCTTCTTATAGAAGCTGGCATCGTAATTTGACAACTCAAAACTGTGAATAATTTCTAATTTGCAATCGTTTTAAAGATTTCTCGTACTATTTTTTGGGGGGACTCATCCTAGGGAAATAACTATGTATATATCCAAATTATTATTCCTATCCACAATAATTCTCTCCGGTTAAAGTTTTAATTGTAACAAGCAAGAAATAAGAGTGGCAGTGTCAACAATGCCAACGGCGGAAGTAAGTACGTGCGTGAATATTCTTTCAAGAGTCAATGAGAGGATTTGAATTTTTTTCACTCATTTACGCCAAAACAACTGATACATCCGCTTCATTTCGTTCCCTGGCCGAGCGCTGTGCAGTACACATTGCGCGAATGCAGCTTCTCCAGGTTGGCCTGTTGAAAGTGGTTTCTGCGCATTTTCACCATCTCTTCTTCCATAAGCTGCGATACTGGTGAATACACAAGCAGGAAAATATTACACACTGATACGCCATACATCGTATCCATGCCTATGTGAATAATAATAATAATAATAATAATAATAATAGTATCCATCTGAAGAATTCCTAATATAAAAAGGACATTACAAAGAAGAGAATTGGAAATCAAAGATGCCTAATTTAAAACGTATAGTATTTATGCTTTTTTTGATGCTAGCAACGTGTGGTAAGTCAAATCTTATTTAATATTTTATTGTACGAGGGTGAAATTGATCCAGAAAAATATTACTCAGTTAATCAATAATTGAATAAAATAATTAAATTTAAAAAAGTATATTTATTATTTATATTAATACTGTTTATCCTGTGGCCTCGTTTGAAATCAAACAGATTTCATTTATTATAGATGCTTCTTTGTCATATTTTCAGGAAAACATCTGGGAGTCAGTTTCATAGAAGTTGTACAAAACGAAACAACAGTTTACTTTCGGTTCCATACTAAACACTAGATTGATCGCAACTACAAAGTACAAAGTGGAGACAAAAAGTCCAAGTGAAAGAATACAATTTGTTGAGGTTAATTATCGAAAAAAAATTATAAGAAAAATATGTGAACTTCTTATCTCATGGTCAGTCTAGTTTTTGTGAACGTCAAATATCAGCTTTAAATGTGAACGTATATCAGCTTTAAATTCTTAAGTGTTGCCGAAAAAACCTTTAATTCTAGCCTTTTTCGAATATGCCAATTTTGTACCAATACTCCGGTAATGACCCTCAAAGCCAAATATGAACTTAAAAAATGATTAGTTTTTTTTTTTTTTGGTTTTTGGTTTTGCTGAATAATACAACAACATTGCCTCTATAGTAGACGATATGAGAGTCTATAGGAAACAAATTGTAAAAATTAGCCTTTTATGATATTTAAACAGAAATTTTTATCATTGACATAAACCCGTAGAAATAAAAACATTCAAAATGATGTGTTTCTTCTTAAAAGTTAAAAATGACAAAATATATATATATATATATATATATATATATATATATATATATATTCGTATTGAAACTGGGTCTTTGAGCATGTTTCCTGGCAGAAATTCGCATTTATTTTTAAAGTTATCCATGTAAATGTTTATGCATTTGTCAAAAATTAATTTATTCGACCCAAAATTTAGCCATTCGTAGGTTCATGCGTTTATAAAAAAAATGAAAGTATTCATCCTGAATCTAAAACTACTAAACAAGCGTCTAAAGAACTATGTATGTCTTAAATTAACATACTGTCAAATTGTACCGAAAATTTCTTATTGTTTCTATTATTTAAAATTTGTTAGATTATAAAGTTATTTCCAAATAAATATTGTGTATATGTACACAATAGTATTTTTAACCTATCTGTCTGTCTCTGTCTCTGTCTCTCTCTCTCTCTATATATATATATATATATAATATATTATTTTTTAAACCTAAAATTAAATTGTATGTATGTATTTCTTCTGTCACGTGTTTTCAATTCCAAAATGAATCTTTTAGAATGAAAGTGGTTAATCATCAAAATACATATAACAGAATAAAAATGTAATTTTACCACACTGGAATGGAGGCCAAAAGTAGACTCATTTTTGAGCAAGTCGGCTGCGGTCACTCACTGTTAAAATCTTATCGCTTATTATGAAAAGTAGGTATTTCCGGACACACTACACTCAGCTTAACATTTCACGTCTGACTGCCGCCAAAGATTCATTGAAAGCTATTATAATTAGTGTCCCTCTCTCCACTAGTTTAAGAATTTGTGTACCATTACTGATTCTACTTGATAAAAATGTCGCCAATTTGTAGGCAAAGAAGAAACAAACACAATATTTAAAACATGCGAATATTTAAAGAATTGAAAATATTAAGACGTAACTTGAATATTATAACTAACATATATGGATTTAGCTAGCACAGAAATATTCATTATTCTCTCAAATATTTATGAATGTTTTTTTTCATTATTTTTTCATATTTTTCTTTTCTTTTGAATTTAATTTTTGCCTTGGTCTCTTTATCACTCTTTAGAATCGGTACCCAATTATTTCGTTCATAAAGTGTTTTCGCTTTTTTTATCCGGTCTATTTTAAAACAAATTTCATGTATGAATTGAAACATTATTATATCGACAAATAGAGTAGGAATAGGACAAGCATTACTGTTATTACAGCCCGGATTTAACGTTTTTATGGCTGGAGACTGGTTGATAGCATCCACTTTGTAGTTCCTGAACTTTGTTCAAGCTGTCGATCTCATGGTTCCCAGGCTACATACCTCATCCCCTTGACTGTAGGTTGATTGTAATCAACCGTTTGAAGAAAGTTCTCGTGAGATAAATGTTCCGAAATTATTGTTAGAGCAAAGTTTGCATGTGAAGAATGAATAACATGAAGAAATACAAATGCTTGAAATGTGTTGTGAATAAACTGGTTTGAATCAACAATGTTGATTGTGCTTGGCGAAAATTACAGAGAGAAAATTGTAAGTTTGTAATTACGAAATTCTGTGTCTCTGTATGCGTTAGAGTGTGATGAGCAAGATCGTGGATTTGTGTTGACGGCTGGGATCTTACTGGATCTTACTGGCGATTTGCGAAAAGTCCCCCAATTTAAGGAAAAGAGGTAGGCTCCCACGGAAAACTTGATCTTACATTAAAAATATGGGATTGGTTAAAAATTAACCAATCACTACACACGTACTAAACAGAATAGGTAAGTATGCTCAGAACCAAAAGATTCAAAGGAAGGACTGCGATGGCCAAATTGTCCTATACAAAGGTAGTAGTAATTTATTAGCCAATCGCAGGCGAATAAAATGACTTTGAGTGTATGTGGGTGTGAAAAACATAGCAATCGCTATAATAAAATATACATTTCTGAAATGTTACTTTCGTAAAATTAGCAAATGTAAAGTCAAATTAATCTGTTCTGAAACAAATATCACTTACTTATAGCATAAAATTTCTAGACAAACTTTTCTTGACCTCGGGGTCTTGTTATTTTCACGTCTTCATCAATAATTTGATGGCTGAATGGTTTAGTACGGTGCATCAAAAGTGACATAACTTTTTTTTTGTTTCTTATAATAATTTAAAATGCTATAAAAATTTCTTACATTATTGAGTTACCTCTATCTCTTTCATTATTTAATAGCTAAGATAATGATAACTAATTTATTAATATTACATTAAGTTATTACATTTTTAATTTAATAACTGAGATAATAACTAAAATTAGTATTATATTAATAATTAAAATATCTCATTGAGTTATTAATTGTTTAAATTGATAAATGAGATAATTTTATTATCTCAATTTAATTTTTAATTTAATAACTGAGAGTGAGAAAAGAGCTTTACATGTCAAGAGGCTTCCCCCAAGGAGACAAGCCTTGAAACACGTGACCTTTTAAGCATAATATCACTTATGAGATATCATACTAAAAAAATGTAACATTTTGACGCACAAAAAATATATTTAATTATGGTAAAAAGTTTTAGTAACATTATTTGTACTAAGCTTTTAATTTTCGCTTAGTAAATATAGTCTTCACTTAAAAACTTCATAACTTACCCCACTCTCTGTTTAGAAGAATTTTAAAACATTTTTTAAAATTAAAGAAAAATGAAAAAAACTAAAAGAAAAATACAAACAATTCTTGTAAAAATTCTTTATTCATCGAAAAAAAAATTTTTCTTCAGATAATAATGTCCTTAATGTATAGTAAATAAAAGCCTATTTAATTTGATAATTAGATAGTTTATTGCAGTTTTTATTTTACGATTTGGAGCAGATTTTTTACAAATTTGTGAAAAAAAAAATTGATGATTTAATTTCTCCAAAAATAATATAATGCTTATAAGTAATATAAAACAATTTGAGAACTGTTTGAAATTTCATAGAATTAATTTATGTGGAGTGGGGGTGGGGGTAACAGATGTAAAAAAAATATTTTTACCAAGATTTTCTAAAAAATAAAAAATTTCAAAAATAAATTAATTCATTTTTAAACAAGTCCTGAAAGTTTCATTAAAATCAGACAATTATTTGATTTTTGCAAGAATTTCCAAATTAATGGATTTTCCCACTGAAACTGCTACACTAAAAATGGCCATTACCACAAGTATTACAAAGTCAACAAAAAAAATGGATTTTTTACCCAAATTTAGAACGTGTTAAAAGAAGGATTTTTTTTTTTTTAAATAATTAAAAATACTTTGGTCTATCCTCTTAATAATAACATAAACATACTTCATAGACATTATCGTTGTCTATCTCTACTTTTATCGTTTCCGTTTTTATTGAGAACAATAACGTTATTTGTATTAATAGGAAAAATAATACAATACGTGGCAATTTAATTTCTAAAACCAAATTTTCCGACCTGATCAATATTCACAGGAGTGGGATGGAGAATAAGTGTGTTGAATAAGGGAGATAACCCGTTTTTGTAATGGACTTCTTAGCCAGGAACTCACAAACTGCTAATGCATCAGAACAGAAGCGTAAAGAATCCACTTGTCAGGTCAAAGTCCGGATTCCCCTCCCCCGAACAGGTTCCCGTAACCCTTTCTGCGTTTCTAAATAAGTGTGTTGATTGAATTTGTAGTATCCGCTTCTTATTTTAAAAAAAACACAAGGATGGTGTTGAATTTGCATGCGGCACATGGATGCTTTTTTCAGTTGAATCTTTCGTTTTTCTATTCGTTCTATTTCATATCCTGGCATCTTGTTTCCTGGACATATTGAAAATAACCGCTTTCAGCAGCGATAATGACTCTGAACCTCTGCAGTATTCAAATGAGCAGTAGAAACATGAAGCCAACGTTGTTTCTGCTCATCAGTCAAAATATGATGCAACATCACTTAAGAATTTTTTTCTCATTCTCAAATCCTTTGTTAGAATTTGTAGCAATATCCCACTATTTATATTCAGTTCTATTAGTTGCCCCCTTAATTTTCAATCTGAGCGCACAAAGATCGTTCTGTCTACATTTGCATCCGTTCTTTCCCCTTTTTTGTTGTCCACTTCTTGCGTCACCGAGCATATCTCACACTTCCTTGTAACTCATGTTCCACTCGAAAAAAGCCGATTTCATCATAACATCATAAACCAATTTCATAGGGTTAATGTTTCACTGGCACATTTACCAATTATCATACAAACTTTGATGTTCATTCGCTTCCCCAGATTCGTTGGCAGAAATCCAAATATACAACATGAACACGTACAATTTCCTCTACTGATCGGTAACGAATGATTCATCTACTTTATATCTCGAGAAAGCGGAAGTTGAAACACGTCCGAACGTGCTCGGGTACAAATGTTTGCCTAGCTCATTATCCCAGTGGTACACTGCCGACATTCCGGGAATTAAATTGTCATATTTCACTCCCATTTATCTTCTCTTCCTGTTTCACTTTACAGTTATACTTCCAAAATTGAAAAATGTCACCTTGGTAGATCAAACAAAGAGAAATGAATTAAAAAAAAAAGTTTAACCTTTTTAATTAATTTAACCTAATTAATTTGTTTCTAGGAAACTTTGGATTTATTTGTAATATTTCCTTATTCTATCTTTTTGATAATTAATTTTATTTTAATTTCTCTCTTTATTCCCTTATTTGTTTATTACTTGTTGCTATGTTGTGTATTTCTTCATTATTTATTTCCAGCTTCATCTTGTCCACGCATCAGGAGAAATAAAAATCTTCGGCTAAAGTACCGATCCAATAAAAGAATCGTCTACTTTGCATGCAGGTCAGGTTTCAAGATAATTGGTGCTACCTCAGCTATTTGTAATAAAAATACATGGTCAACAGACTCTCCAATATGTGTTGGTAAGTTTAAAAATTGCAACATTTATAACACAACAGTGATTACTATTAGAAATAGAGTATTTGTAGATATAAATATTTGTGATCATAGAAAACACTGTATATTTCTTTTGCGGTCTCTATATATAGGCCACAAGAGGATTAAAGAAAGTGAAGGAGAGGAAAAAACGGCCCTTCCCTGTTCTTTTTTTCATGGTGAATGTTATTAATGGTTATGAACTTTAGTTGGTTTATTCATTTATTTTAAAAATTTGACAATTTATTTGCTTTGTACATCACTCTTTTTGAATTAAATTCACTCTCAAAAACATAAGTTATAGTTACTACTGTCATAGAAACATTATCAGAATGTTGAGAAGCTGAATTTGTCAATTTAAAAAAAATAAAAACGGCGTTTATTAGCATGTTTATGCGTAAATCATTTGATATTTGATATAGAATATCGATCCCTAGAATTCAGAGCACGGTAATCACAGCACCATCGATTATTACAGTCAAATAAAAAAAAGAGGGAGAGAATTTTCTATTCACTTTTAGAAAGAAATATCACTTCAGAGTTTTTTGTTTTTTTTTAATTATGTTGATTCTGCTGAAGATTTCATTCCAAAACCTGGATGAAGGTTCCTTTATCTATAACGGATAAACCCCAAATATGTTCCATTTGTTATCAACAGTATTTTCTTATTAATTCGTTTGTAAGTATAAGAAAACTGACACGGTTAACAATTAAAGTTATCGAAGATGTAATTACATTTAAATTAATCTTCTTTACTGTAATATTGTGCAAATAATTTCATTTTTACTGCCTATGGTCAAACCTAAATTGTTCAATATGATCAAAGCACAATAAAATATTAGTTACATTAGTGTTCCTGAATGTTCATTTGAAAGACCATTTTAAAAAAGGAATTTCAATCTCCGGATTTGCTTGTCCTCAACTTATATTTTTCTCATGACTGGCGTATGATATTGATATAGGAGTTGGTCCCAAAATAATCCCATTTCCCAGAGAAAATGGTAATACAGAAATTCTAGTAATATTATCAATAACAAATTTCACTTTGGTAACTCCGAGTCGCACAGCGAAATATAGAATGGTCAGCTAGAGCTAATACAATCGGTCTAATTAGTTTTTTTCACATCAGTAGATATAGGGGTTGATGGTCGTAAACTGTTAACGTTTACAGATTTTGCTTTGGGAGCCATCTGCACCAAGGTTTACACTTTCTTGCCTTGTCAGCGTAAAAAATGTAAACTCTACATCTTTGGGATTTTGTTCTTTACAATACAGTCTAAGGTATTGTGTTTTTCTTGTGGGTGCTGTGTATTTTTACTATAGTTTTGAGTGTGACAGTGTGGTTGAAATGATGGTTAGGACATCAGATGTCATCCTCTGCCCACCTAACACCAATTATTAGGCTATGATTAATTGAATTATTCACTATTTGTTCATTATTCAAGAAATAGATGCCTATTTAAAGGCAAGAGTTTCGCTTCTAAAATTTAATGGCCAACTTTTTAGTAAGGAAGTCAGGATCTTTAGTTTGCTAGTATTTCTGTACACACGATGTCTGACCCTCTGATAATTTCTTGTATTCTATCCAAGTTCTATTCATCATGTCAGTCATGTCACCAGCAAATGAAGTGGGTGAAGTTGGAGATTTACTTAGTTGTGAACTGTTTAATATGTCTTATTAAGTTACCCACTGGTTCAAACCTCGCTGTAGCCATCAGCCGACTTCATTTATTGTAATATCCTTTTTTTTTCTTCTCCTTTTTTTCAATTTACTCCAATCCATATTCAGATTTAATTGAACTTTTTTTTTATCCCAGCTGCACATCACAAAAATAAGAACTTACATCATTTATCACTTATTTTATGGAAGGTGATCCTTATTTGATTGCAATGATATTTCTTCTTACTTTACAGTGAAGACTGGAATTTCATTTCATTAGCTCATCTGCTAGTTTGATTAAATGAGTAAGGGCTCATGTCCTTTTGTGACAGATGCGCTAGATAAAGGCCATTCTTGCAGAAATATATATTGGATTATTTGTTCTCTGATGCTGATACGATATGTTACTGATAACATTTCTCGTAAATAAACAGATGTTTATCCTGTAAATGTTGTTGCCTTCATAAATCTGTCCATCATTTCAGGATTTCTCTCTTCGTAAGATGACAGAATAACTTGTTTAAATTAATCGTTTTCTTGTCTTCTTTTTTCGAATCTAACTCTGAAAAAATATTTTTCAACAACTTCAGCAATCACGGTTGCAATAACTGAGAAATATTTATTGCTGAAGCGTCAATACCTCCGAGGTGAAATTGTGCTTGTATTTCTATATTTCAGACATTCACTGATGCTTTCATTGTGGCACTGTATTATCAAGTGATGTATATTCATCATTCATTTTTAAATAATTATAAGTATTTTCAAAAAAAAAATTCAACAATTCTAAATTCAAATGGAGTAATTATTAAACGAAAGAAGTATATATAACTCCCCATACCCAAAGAGACAAGCGACTTAGCTAGAGATCAAAATACACCTGTATTTCGTTTTTTCTTTTCGATTTCTAGAACATTTTAGAATTTATGCAAACCAGAATTGGTTGATTGAAAAATGTCTGAAATTGCTCCATGATCTGTTTTTTCATAACTTTAAATCTTATTCTAGATTTTATTACTTTGGTAATTTTTTTTCCGGCATATTGCAGTTTTGATTATTAAATTTTAAATATTACTGCAAGTTTAATAAATAATGATAATTCATTTAAATTTTATCTTGAGCTCTTTAAAATCCTTCTAATGTAATTCTTGCATTTCAGATAACAGCGTAAATCATGTTCTTTTTCGATTTAAATTTTTATAATTTCTATTTAAGAAATGTTTCGAGTAGTCTATGAGGAAGTGTTAAAAATTTCTCAGCCTGACTTAGAAGGAAATTTAAAATAAATTCGAATATTTGGTCAGACTTTGGGAACTGGGTCAGACGGATAACTTTTTTTAACATTCCTTTGTATATAAACAACATTGACTTTCACTAAATCTTTTACTGTACTGCAAATATCTATTCCTCCTTCCATTCACCCAAGTGATTATCATAATAATAATATTTAATGATAGAGTGAATGAAGCCCAACTATGGATTTAATCCATAGCAGGATAAAATGCACTCTCTAGCCTTGGTTGGCGGTCTGCCTAGGAGAATAACAACTCTGAATTTAAAACCGGTTAGGAGTAAGGCGAGTAACTGCATGTCGGAAACAAAAACCTACATTCTATTAAAATCACAGCACCCTGTGACGTACTTTAGTTGTGACTCTATTCTCCACATGAAATCTACAGATTTAAAAAGATGAATGATAGAATGATAATGTTTAAACAAAATAGGTTACTGTTTCTTTTTATATTTTAGCAAAACAAATGAATAGCTGATTGACTGAAGAGCAAGATTAACATACGCGGTGAAAATATGAATCAATTTAAAAGATATTGAGAACCTTGAAAGAGCTAGCTTAAACTATAGAGAAACTTGAAGGATGTAGCTTAAAAGACGACCTATCGGGCGGCATTTAAGCTAGCTTCTGCGCATGGCTCTTGATTAGGCCTTCGGCTTGTTCAGAAGTTTGAGAATCCCTAAGTCTTTGTATATTCTCAGCATTGGAAGCTCTTCTGGCTGCCGTTTGATCTGGGTTTTCATTTGACCGGTAAATTTCTTTCCTCGCTGCAGCCTTGGCTCTTTTGATTGCAACCTGGTCCTCTTTTGGCAAAGATTTCTTTATGCGAGGCATGCTTCTGCCGTATGCGATAAGCAACAATAAACTACAGAAGAACTCAAAATTGATCGCTGCATTAAAGTATTGCATTAATATTTAAGCTTACTTTTTAAAAGTTCAACGATAATTCTTCTGCTTTAAATAATTTAAAGACAATTTGATGTATGTAGGTCCTTACTTTCCGTAAAAACAATTATTTTTATTTTATGTGTAACTTTCGCAATTAATTTCAATTATTCCCAAATTTATTTCTATTGTGAGACCGGAAACTACCTACACAATTGACTCTTCCAGGACTATATTAAGTAGGCGACATAGCACTCTACGGTGTCACACTGAGTGATATAGTAAGCTCCGCTTACACTATCTCTGTAACCTGTTGTTAATATATCTTTCTTACATCTAATCCGTGTTTTACTTCTGTGGTCCCAACTTTGGCCCCACATCAGTGGCGACGAGTATTCGAGAAGCGCACTCACGGCGAAGCATCAATACCTTACCAATCCCACATCTGGGTCGACGAAGAATTCTAGAAACGCATTCACGTCGAAAAACCGCAGTACTTTGCCAGTCCCACGACAGTGGCGACAGAAAGATTCGAGAATTTCGTTCTCACCATATCAATAGCGGCAGTACTCGAAAAATACACAAACTCCACGCGTTCCCGCAGCCGTGTTGAACGTGAAATTAAGCTGGTAGCATTAATTAGCGATTTAAAAGCTAAACACCCAGCGTATATATATATTCCAATACCAAACATCAGTGACGAACTAGCGATTCGACATCTACGGAATATTAAAGTCTGTCCAAATAAGAACGATTTCTTACACACTCACACACAGAAAAAAAAAACCCAGTTTGTCATAAAACAAACTGAGCGGAAGTACTATTTACGACTCAAGTTTTTCGAAGAAAACTATCGAAAATTTTTTTTATGTAACTGAGTTGAACTCGGGCATAAAATTATTCTCCCCTCAAATTCACTGAGGTGAGTTTTCTCTTTTTGTACACCTAAAAAAAAAAGTGGTGAAAATTTATTCAATTACGTCAAAATTAACGGAACCACGGGAAAACAAAAGCTAAACACATAATTGGTTTAGTTTAATTAATTGTCTGTCAATATTTTTTTTCTTCTGTCAAAGAAGAAAAAAAGGAACAAATCTATCAAGATTTTTTTGTGTACCTCCTCTTAGTACACGTGTTTCAAAGCAACAAAAAAA